TCATGTACTAAGTTGGAAAAGGCAAACAGATGCCTTTCTAAGTGCCCCAACTCTGATCAGTCATTAGTGGCTGCTGATGGATGGATCCTGAGGACTTATTCAAGTTCTGTTTAAAACTGAGAGAAGGGGAAGAAGAGCGAGGGAGAGAAGGTGGAAGGGAGAGAGCTCACAGGAGAGCAACAGTATGCTGTGCCCTTTTAGCCATGTCAACCAAAGACGCTGAACTAGGTGAGGAAAAGCAGCGAGCCCTGCTCTAACAGCATCCCTCACATTCATTAGAGACTCTTGTCCATCCCAAGTCCTTTCTGTATCCTATGTGCCCTCCAGATCTATGCAGATGGCCAACCAGAATCCTAGCTTTCATGACACCACTCTAATCTCTTCTTCTCTATCTCTCTGCGTTCCCATGTAGGCTCCTGTTCCTGGCCTCTTAAACTTTAATATTCTCTAGAGTTTAACTCTTCATTTCATTTTTTTAAATCGGTAGTTGTGATACATTAAGTAATGACTTGGTGTGAAAAACAGTGTTCTACAGAGCCCTAAATATGATGGCGACATGATTTATCATTCAAATAGTTGGGGGAATTAAGGGAGAATGATATTAACAATTACATCAGGAAAAAAAATACACAGAAATGAACTCAATAGACATGTTTTGAGGTATAATTCTCAGGATTCAGAAACTGAGATTTACGTCTGCAAAAATTACACAATGTTTAGGAGTGGCAAAAATAGCACTTTAGACAGTTAAATTTAAAAACTTTGAAAGAATATCCAAAGTACAACTAACATGAAGCTCAACAGAAACGCTGAGGCTAGAGATAAAATTACACACACACAGCCCCCATTACAGTGGAAGATGAGTATGTCAACAGTACCAAAGTCTATGGAAGTGGAAGGTATCATCCAGAATAATGACTAAGACCAAATACCAAATATTTAAAATTATCATTGAAAATTTTACAATTTACATTTAAGAACTCAGGTTCACTTAGCTGAAACTAATTAACACTGAGTTTCAACAACAAATTCACTTGAGAAACTATCTGAAGAACTCTAATGGAAAAAAAAGCTAGAAAATCAACAGAAGCTCTGTCCTTTTAAAATTAAATTAATATCTGTACATTGCCTTCTAATTTCTAACACTCCTTACACAAATATCTTATGGTTTTACAATATTTTTATAGTCTAAATATGATTAAGACTAGCAAAATCTAAAACAGAATTAATAAATTTCTGTTGATAAATTTCTTCATTCAAATACATTATCGCAGGTTCAACAAAGTTAACATAAGCCAAATGAAAAGATGAGGTATCAAATACAAAAGTTCTTTTTAATCTCTGAAAGTACTCAGAATACACTTTAATATATACCTGCTTGATATAAACCCCACTCCTGGAGAACAGATCCACCAATTCCGGGTGATATTTGCTATTCTGGCTTCCGTGACCCAGGGTGAAATTTGTATTATCTCCCCAAGTGTAGACATCTGTAGGATCTAAAATGAAGATCAGTTTTTATACTCTTTTACATTTTAAAGCAAGTATCAGTATAGTTCAATTATAGATATACTCTAGTAATCAGTTTATACCTCAACATGACTCTTTACAAAAAATAACTTAAAGACCATATTTAGAAAGATACTACTGATAATCTCTTTTAAATTATGAATCTATTAGAAATTATGAATTTATTAACTTATTATATAACTCTAGGAAAAGAAACCAGAAAATCCGTATCAGCACAGGCCTGTCTCAATGTAAGCAATATAACACTTGACTCTTACTTCTTTAGCAGCTGAAGTTTACCTGCCAAATGAGTAAAATGTCACCTGCGATATCCACTTAGTTTCCATGAAAATAATATGTATACTTACTTAAATGTAAAGTATTATTAAAACATATATATAGTTTGTTATTGATAGATGCAAAATCACACTAGGGATTAGGACAATATCCTTTAAACTGGGATAAAACTTAATCACAGCTAATTATGATATAAACCTTCATTTTTATTTTGGAAGGCTTAGTTCTTGAATGGAATTATAACTGTAACTGTACTGAATGGAATTATAACTGTAACTTGCAGTATAACATTCAAGGTAGAAATAAAAATGAAGAACGTGTCCTTTCTTAGCTTGCTCACTAGTTAAATGCAAATTACAATGCCTTCATTTAAATATCTTCTCCTTTTCCACCATTTCCATTTCCAAAGCTCATAGGGCAAAAAAATTGGAAAGATAAGTGCAATCAGAACATGTGGGTAGACAAATCACTTCCTTTTCCCCTCAACCTCAAAGACTGGTGTTATTACTTTCCTGATGCACACTGACGACCTTACAGTAGTTACAATTCTAACTACCTTCCCTTTTTAATCTGTGTTTTTACCCCTATAGACATAAATGTACACTGAAACTGAAAAATGTAAAATGAATCAGAGTGTTCTAACAGAAAACCAAAATTATCAACCAACATATACCAAAATAAAAGTCCTTTGCAGATATCCACATACAAATTTTCTCAGGTATTAAACACAACTATCAAATTTCATTAAAATGTTCTAAGCTGTACCTTAATGGAATACATTCATGGGATTTTCTTACCAGTATTTTTGAATACCACGTGAGTTGGTCTATCCTTCATTACAAGATCCAAAGCTGACAAGCCTTCTTTATCTTGAATATACAGACTAACGCCATGCTAAAAATGAAAAAAATTTATGTGTGTGTATATTTATAGAGAGAGATATGTATGCATATATTTTAACCATTTACCGGTAATCAGTAATTTACTCCTATTTATCAGAAAGTCAGATGATCAAACCCATAAACACATTAAAAAATAAACACTGAACAACAATTACCGCCTATGCTTATACATACTTTTTTCTCATACAGAAGAAAACTAAGAGAAATCGAATATCCAATTCTTGGTAGAATAAGGAAGAACCAGAAAACATGAAGAAATAAAATAAATGGCATTTAAAATCAAAATGACTAGATATGAAAGTTTTCCATAGTAAGGCAGGTCTTGTTGCCTCGAAGGCCCTAGCTCTGGGTCTATGTCTGTGTACGTACGTACACACACGTGCACACACACACATACATACACATACACATACATACATACCCTTTTTTTGGATTTAAAAAGCCAAAATCCACATTCAGGTAAGGGCTGTAAAGATTTCTATGCAATGGTGAACAATACTTACATTAGTATTTATGGTATATAAATAAAATATGATCACCAATGCTCCATCTCTTTTTGCCCTGAATTCTACAATATTTCTTATTGACATTAAGACAATTACATTCTTTTATTTCTATTCATGTGATATGTATTTTTATATTTTTCTACTTAAAATTTTATAGCATGGTCTCATCATTTGTAGCTAAATTGTATCTTATAAAAAATCTGAGAATGCATGTGTGTGTGTTTTAAAGATGAATTTAAAGTAATCTGTAGTTTTATATCTCCACAATTCAAATTCAAACATGAAATAAAACATTTTCTGTCCCACTTATTTAAGTCAGCTAGCACACCCTATGCCTTCACCATACTGTCTTTTAAAATATGATGGGAGGAGGAGGGGACAGAAAGAAATGTTTAATTCATATTATTGTTATTTTATTACAGTTTTTAAAAAATACACGATGTACTGCTTTTCAAGAACAACTTCTAGGGCATTCAACAATTATTCAGACTTCTATTTTAACTGGTGTGAGTCATCACTGCCTATTCACATACACAGTTTACCTGGGTAGTTACAGGCTGAGATGAACCATGAAGTTTTTAAACTCTACCTGTAACCTGTTTGGGGTTACTGTTTTGGGTTACTCCTCTTAACTCATAACAATAGATTTTAATAAACTAAAATCAGTTCTAACTTCATTGTGTTTCAGATGGTTATAATACTAGATTTCACAAGAACTGTCAATGAACAAAAAACACTCAAGTCAGTGGGCTAACAAATAAAACAAAATTCAGGAGTAAAGATCTTAACACATTACGTTGCTTACTTACTACTTTCAAGTTAGATACAATAAATCCATGTGAACTCTGAGCTTGGACTTTGTAAGAGAAAGAAGGGTAGGCTCCTGGGCAGAATGTCCCACGTTATGAATGTGACAGACAGGTTCCCAGGAAGTTAGATTCCTGGAGAGTTTATTTTACCAGTTATATAAATTTGTCCTAAACTTTATATATGCCAACTGGACCCTTGTAAGACTATATACGAAGTATCCCCAACTGCATAAAGGACTAGTGACATTTTTTTGCCTTTAGAGCTCCCTAGATATTGGTGGTCTCTGACACTTTCTAATATGCTCATCTTAAACTCTAAAGGTAATAGGACCAGTGTGTAGTCTATCTGATTTATTAAAGATCAACTCTTTATATGTCCCCAAAATAGTAGGTATATTCATTAGCTGATTAAATAGCATCTAAGTATAACAAAAAAGAAACAAACAAAAAGAGATTCTGTCTTGTTCGTTACAATGTCCCTAACACTTAGATCACTGCCATCACACATTAGACACTCAAAAAAAAAAAAAGTATATCATTTAGTCCACACAATCTTATGATTCAGTCAGTGCTTCCATTTACAAATGGGGAAAATTAAAGCAAGTTCTCCCAGATTAGTAATGTAAGAAAACCACCAATATTAAAGAACAATGGTACAGCGATAACAGATACAGCAGGACCCACAAACATAAACATGCATCATGTCATGGAATCAAGGAGGTAATGAAAGGCTGCATAAGATGTGCTGTTTCTATTCCAGCTTTTGGTAGACAAAAAGTTTCTGCTGCGGTTTTTCATCTTTGGCAATCGGGAACTGATAGAACGGGTGTCAATTTATTGTATAATTTATTTTGACACTTAATTGTAAAACTTCATAGCTATAAAGTTTCTATAAAATGTGTTTAAACACATTTAAAATGTGTTTTTCTATATGGGCTCTTCCTGCCAATCTAACACCTTAAGTGCCACAGTTGTCGCCAGAAGTAGAACTGACGTAACACCCCTATCACTGCAGCCCTTCTGCAATTCCCTCCCTTTAAGGAGTGTTAAAAGACCACAGGAAAGAAGTTTGTGCTAAACAAATGCAGGCGGTTAACAGCAACACAACACGGGAATATTAGATGGATGAAAGAGGTTTTTGTGGGGATATTGTCATTCCTGTGGTGGATTGGTGGGAATGCATCTACCACATTAGATGTCTATCACTGATCAGAAGGACTCTGATAATAAGACAGTCAAACCAAGAGCAAGGTGGCCCAGGGCATAACTTCCTGTCTTCTCCTAGCCAAGCTGGTGAGGATGACTGGGGATTTCTAAAGGGAAATGAAACCCAAAGCAAAGGAAGGTCCAAAATTCAGACCAGACCCTATTTCAAACTAAAGCTCCAAATCGTAACACCTGAATGGCAACCCCTAGGACAGCAGAAAATCCAAGGACACTTTCAAGCTTGAAAGGACTGGCAGTCATCCAGTTTTTCCAGCAGAAACTGCTGGGAAATGGTAAAAGCAGAGCTGATAGATGCTTTAATGCTTACTAACCTATCTTTCCCAATAAGGGAATTAAACTGATACCCAAAGGTTTCAGATATAGGAGGAATTAACAGTACTATTAATAAACTTAAGAAAAATTTTTTCATCACTCAAACTCCCTGGGAGAAAAAAAAATGAGGAAGGTACTTAAATTATTCTCTTAATAGATGGAACTGAAGTTCAAGATTTAGTAACTTGTCCAAGATAAATCAGTAAGTAGTAACCTAAACAGTTTAGCTTCAAAGAAGGATATTTTGTTATTAATATATACTGAGAATTATTTTGATCAGTAAATGTTACTACCCAAAGACCGCTATGTAAATAATTTTTCTGATGACAAAAACAGACACCAAAGATAAAGACACTGAAGATAAGCTCCCTAATGCCCTAATGTGATCACAAGTTCCTTGAGGACAGGAACTGCTTTGTTCTTCTCTGGGTCCTCCACAAACATGACAAAATGCCTAAACAAAAGAAAATTGTTCAGTTTAAAACTTGTGACTTCTGATAGTTTTTAATTTGCATTCATTAGTGAAATGACATCAGGGTATATTTCAAAACACTTCATACTATTTGGTTAAACAGTACAACAAACCTAGATACAATCTATTTGATGGGAAATTTAAAATAAATTAAGCTGATCCTAACTATTAATTTTTCTAAGAAATATAAAAACTTTATCCTAGCCAAAGAAAAACACACTCCTCAAAACACAGTGCCTAAGTGACCTCAATAACCTTTTAAACTAGGTAATAATACAGTTATATAAATGACAAAAGGTCTGAGGTTTACTTTAAGAATATGGGATGGAGAGAAGTCAGTGGAGACATACCTAACACAAAATTGGCCAATAATTCATTATATATTGTAAACTTTGGTATATGTTTAAAATTTTACATCATAAAAAGTTTAAATTAAAAGGATATGTGAGGACTGAATTCTAAAGATGAGTTACAATAGTAAAGACATCAAACAATCAATGAGAACAAACTCAAATCTCTTTTGGAAAGTTAAGTGGAGTATATGAAAAAGATTAAGAGAAACATATGCCAGACCAAACAGTTTTAAATAGACAAATGACACTTACCTTCAATAGAGACCAAACACAATCAATATGTCCATAAAAAATGCTTCTGTGCAAAGCTGTCCATCCTGACTCCTTGTCTTTGACCAAAGGATCCACTCCTTTCTCAATGAGCCAATCTAACACTCCTTTCTTTCCACAGGAGGAAACAAGGTGGAGGGCATTTCTGCCAAAGGCATCCTTGATGGTTGCAGCATTGTAACAGTGACTGGAGAGAAAGGCCTTAATCTGGTTTTCACTCCCCTTGGTTACCACAGAAAGGACGTCTAAAGCATGCTTCAGGGATCGACACTTTGATGTGCAGTCAGGGATGGAAGAATTCATCCTAATTGTTGTTATACAGCTTACTTCTTCAGAAGAGTCAGATAATTTTTAAAAAATGAAAAAGCCAGGACATGAAGGTGCTATTCAGAAAGTTTTATAGAGAATAAATGGCCTGTTCAGGATTATAATTTAAATCCTCGAGCCAACAGTATAAAACTATATAGATGTGTACAATTATTTGGCACTTAAATCAAAAAATTATAAATAGCTCTATAAAGTTTTTTTTATCAAATACAAGTCCTTTATTTAAAAAAAAACTTTCAACAGTTTATAAATTATTCCTGGAGTCAAGCACCAAGGGGGAGTGAGGAGGGGAACTCCCCCTCCACACTGTCTGATCCTTCTAAATATCCATAATTGCAAGGGTGACCTATAAGAGAAGAAAAGAGAAAGAGAAAGTGAAAAACACAAAATCTATTTCATACTCTCCTCAAATATTTTATAATACAATTACCTCCATATTTAAGTGCCCCTAATTCCTATTTCAAAAACAAAAAAGTGGGTCTATCAACTTTTCACTGGTAGAAGAAACTTCCACACATTGAGTCACTCTGGCTTATACATGATTTGGCCTGAACTTTATGCTAACTGAAACAGTCTGTCTTATGGCCTATCAAACATATCTTTCACATCTGCTTTAACCATAAAAGAATGTGACTCATTATCCAGTTACACAAAAGGTTAAGTCGCGATCCACTGCAGAAGCCCACTGACGGTGCGTCCTGAGGGAAATTCAGGATGGGAAAAACAGGACGAAGAATTCTATGCTTTAGATCTGCAAGCTCCTAAAGAATCTGGTTAAGAGATTCTTAATGCACCTTCCCATACATAGTAAAACACTATAACCATTAATTTGAGATATCTGTTCTCTGTGATTAGCAGTCATCTTTTGCCAAGATATATGCTTGACTACTTGCATTTCCTAGCCAAAAAAAATTCATTTTTATACTGGCTTCTCCCCTACCTCTTCAGAGTAGTCCCCTCAGAGCTACTGAGAGGCTGTTTCCTAGATTACAGTCTTGTCTGGCTGGAATAAAACCCTCTTCTATGCTTATTATAGTTTACGCTATTTGCATCAACATCACTTTCACATGTGTAGTATTCTGTATCTACATCAGTCATCCTCACCTCCTTTTTTCCAGTCTCATGTTTAAGGTTAACCTGCGTCTAGACTCTGGAGTCCACCTCTTTTCTTCCAGAACCTTCATTTCTTCTCTCCTGTATTTTTACACTCTATTAGTTATGCCCTCACAAACTATAAACATACCTAATCCACCATCTTTATAGGAATCCCACCCAAAATCTTTACCCCTTAAAACTCCATGATCATCATCACCACCACTTACTTCCACCTCCACCACAACAAACAACACTCCTGTCATTTAGTTTTTACTATACTAAGTGCCAGACCCTGTGCTAACATTGTTCTACTCTGCCTGGAAGGTCCTCACCATAGGAAATGATAATTAAACAAGTATCAAAACAAGTGGAGAGCTATCTAGAGAAAGATAACTATAAATACTTACTTTATACCTTACACTAATATAAATTCCAGATGGCTCAAAGACAAACATAAGAAATGACTATAAAAGCACTACATGAAAACCAAGGAGACTCTTTTTCCACAATCTTAAAGTACAAAGGGCCTTTCTAAACATGATCTGAAATCCAAGTTACAAAACACCAATAAATTCCATCAGTCTAAAACGTATACGAAAAGATTTTAAAGACAAAAAAGAAGAAAAATC